GTCATTCTTATTTTTTGTTATTATTATTATTATTATTATTATTATTACCATTGTCATTGTTATTCTATCATTATTATTGTCTTTATTATTGTTGATAATGTTATTATTATTTTGATCGTTATTTTTATCATTATCAATATCATTGTTGATATTGTTTATTCATTTTCATTATCACCATTGTTGTTATTATCATCGTCATTATTACTCGTATCATTATTGTTGCTGTTTGTACTCTTATTATTCTTATGAATAGTGTTATTATTATCACTGGGATTATTCTTACTGTTATTATTTTCCATCATATTTATTATTATCTATATAGTTATTATTATCACAATTACCACTATGATCACCGCCACCGCCATCACTGTGCCCGCCAATTCCCCGCCCGCAGGCTACGGCTACTACTTCATCGGCGGGCGCGCGGACAACAGCTCCGGCTTCCGCGACTGGTACTGGGTGGACGGGCGGCCGGTGTCCATCGAGCACCGCATGTACTCGCAGCCCCCGGGCCTCGGCGAGTGCCTGGTCATCGACGGGGCTGGCACTCACAGCATGAAGGCCAAGAGCTGCGACGCGTACAAGCGATGGTACATTTGCGAGTTGAAAGTGAGGTCGTGAGGGGAAACGCACGCAGTTGGGAGTAAAGTGGTGCATGTTTTTGAGGAGCTTTTCGTTTTGAGATGATGCTATCTCGTGTAGATTATATGGCGTGTTCTATAATGTTTAAGCGCTTATGAACAAGCTGAACAAGTGTCTGAAAGAAACCTTAATTTCCATTAAGGACAAGAATTTATATGCTTGAGAAACTCTATTAATTTCATAATAAAATAACAATCCATATGTATATGTGTTTATATTACTTCCAGTACTTTAGCAATATATGATTATTTTCTTATAATACACTGAAAAGCTCTTTTCCGGATTGGAAAGGCGAATAAAGGTGTGTGTGTGTGTGTGTGTGTGTGTGTGTGTGTGTGTGTGTGTGTGTGTGTGTGTGTGTGTGTGTGTGTGTGTGTGAGAGAGAGAGAGAGAGAGAGAGAGAGAGAGAGAGAGAGAGAGAGAGAGAGAGAGAGAGAGAGAGAGAGGGTGATTGTCAAGTACTTTCTTGCGAACGTTTGATAAAGGCTTGTATTTGCATTGCTTAAAATACCACAAAGTGAAACCCAGACTACGGTATTGGCTTGGGCAGTCGTCTTTGTAGGCTGGCATCTCATCACAACCTATATTTTGTATCATTAATATCCATGAGAAAGTTTGGGGCTATAAGGATTTTTGGCATTGTCACTGGGTAGTTGAAATAAGAAAAGGTACGTAAATTTTCGGAAATTACGGAGAAGCTCGCAAAAAGCAATGCATCGCTGGGGTTCGTTTCCTGCAGTGTATATATGAATAAACAAGCAATTTGAAACAAACATTTATTCAAAAGTAGAAAAAAATAATATATTTCTTGTATGATTTCCGCTGGACGGAATACAGTTCCAAAGTACACTGATGAAAAGCTAAGTACAGAGTGAGCACAGAGTTTTGTGACAGTCATACAGAGACATAATTTGGCAACTTTTCATTCCCTTCTCGTGCTTCAAGCTGCGAAGAGAACAGCGCTTTTCTCTGGATTTCACAGAGAAAAAGCCAAAATAGGAAGGTAAGTTTGGTCACTCATTTCGGACGGATGAAAAAATAAGTAAAAATGCGAAACTTAGTTGATCATGGATTAGTATGGTGTCCCAGTTTGCAGGGATGTAAAACCCATTAGAAGGTCTGCATCAGAGATAACGTGTTAATAACTCTAATAGTGATTCTAAATACTTTTGTGAATTAATTACGATTATAATTTAAACCTTTAACATGATCAGATTCGTCACTGGGCCCGTATTTGGTCTTAGTCAAGGTCCTTCATTAAAAAAGATAAAAATAAAGTATACGAAGAAAAACAGTATCATATCACAAAAATGTATACATAGTACATAAAAACGGTGTGGTGGTGTAACGTGTACACTAAATTACAATTGCAGCTGTATAATGATATCTGTGTTTATCAACACAGACACAACTAAAATATCTAATGTGATTGATTGAACACATGTTATATACATTTAACAAAACATTAGTATCAATATAAAGGTTTTCTTAAACAAACATTTCAGACTTATAACTAAAAACGAGATTCAGGAAACGAATCTTTGATTCTAACTTATATACACACATGCACACATTTTTTATTTCAAATAACTGTCAGAATTTAGTAAATTAATCCACAAACCTGAGAGGCAGTACAAAACTCACTACTACCTTTCCATTTCCAAACAATTTAAGATATTGCGCAAGTATCTGAAGAATTTCATTGGATTTTCGTGCTGGCATCAATATGAAGAACATACATTTAATTTTGTTCACTACATAATCTTTCCAGTTCCTATTTCACTCGCAACGCTCTCATCCAAAGCATCACTGCTCTCACTGGCTTCCTCCTGCAGGTTCTCTCAGGGCTTCCTAGAGAGCAGCCAACTGACGAAGAAGCTGAGCAGGATCGTGGCGAGGGAGGCGCCGATGAATTCCGAGCCGCCTGTGAAAGTGAACTTGTGGACCTGGCTGCCGGGCTCCTGCCAGGGGTTGGCGCCGTCGTCGAAGTGCATGGGGCACCGGTCGTCTGGGAGGGAGGGAGGGAGGGCATGGTTAGTTGGTGTCACGGATGAAAAAAGTGAATACATATATGGATATGAGAAATTACGCACTGACACATAAATGTGAAGAAAATATATATGTAGGCCTAAATATACTGAATTTATACATTCAATTGGATGTAAAAATGTGCATATACACAGGAATACAAAGTCCAGTACTTATATTCCCTCCCTCCCTCCCTCCCTCCCTCTCTCTCTCTCTCTTCGTGCTGCTCCATACCAGCGTTCATGAAACCAAAATAATGTCAGATCTTGACCTAGGCTGACCAAGTCCGAACTAGCCCCGCCACCATTTCAGGAAGACCTCAGGCCTCGAACCCTGGGCTAACCCCGGGCTCGCCACCGCTACAGCACCGTTCCCAGTTTATATTACCTCGGGTTATTTACCGCTGGGTATTATGCTCTTTCTGCAAATAAGGAGTCCAGCCGTACCACTCTATCATTGCTACCCCCCAGTCCTAAGTAGTAAGGCTATCTCGCTATGTCTAAAAAGCCTCTTAAACCCCCTTCCCCCCCTCTCTATCTCCTTTCTCTTTCTTTCTCCCTCTCTCTCTAACCCCAACATCTCTCTCTATATCTCTTTTCTCTTTTTTTCTCCCTCTCTCTCTCATCCCAGCATTTCTCCCTCCTATCACTCTCTCACTATTAGTATAGACAGTCAGACACATGTTATTTTACAGATGGTTCCACTTACGTTCTCTCTCGTACTCCACCATCTTGATCGCCACGGCCGAGCCCCCTCCCGTGCCGTGCACCGTCTGATGTAGGTTGCAGAAGGGGCCGACGCTCTGGGACATGAGGATCTTGTTCAGGTCAGCTCTCTGGTAAACCTGCAGGACAAACAGCGCTTAACAGACGGTGCAAAAAGGAAAGCAAATCTACCTCGCACAGTAAGAGACGATTCCAGACAAACGAGCGCCCACCTCTACTCACCCAGCATCTGTACTTCGAGTAAGGATCCAGCTCGTCGTACGTAATAAGGTAGGACCTGAGGTTCTCCTTCCAGTACCCGACGCACTTCAGCTTGTAGTCTGGGTCAGCTGTTGGATATACTGTTCTTAGCGAGGTTCAAGGCACTGAGAAATATTCTAGCTTCATTTCTCAAAAGCATTCGTATTTCACATATAAACATTGAGGGAGGAAAATGATACATTTTGTGGCATAGATTACTTAAATGACCATGAATCTTTTAACAAGCATACCACACATAAATTTAGATAAAAATCAGAAAAGAAAATCATAACATCATGCAGTCATTCCAAATCCTCCAAATCTACTTTTGACTATTAGTAAACAGAAAAGGGAAAGGCATGCAAATGGTAGACTACGAAGTAAATCATGGCTTTAAGAATATTCTGAAAATGTGTCGCGTTCCATACGTCTATACTTGAATTTGATTTGTTCGCATGCTTTAACGGCCATCAAATTGTAAAGCAGTCGGACCTCAAACACAGGGAAAAGATAAAAAAGACGCTGCTGATGTTCACCTCTTTCTGTAAACAAATGAAAATTCGCTAGAGAAAAAAACAGTGAGCGTGATGAAGATGCAAAATCAAGTAAAAATCATGCTATAAAAAGCATCAAACAGAAAAAAAAATGTTTATAAGCCGCATTTAGATTTATATAACAAAAGATTCAAAAGTTATTCGCGGACTTAGAAATACCATTCGAACAAAAAGGTAGCGGCTACGCGGTCACTTTCGAACTACCGTAACAAAAAAGAAGAAAAAAAATAGCTTTAAAAAAATCCAAACACTATAACGAAAACGACAGCACCGAGAGCTCATGGAAACCGTTCCACATACAATATATATCGACATGCCGGCCATACGGATCCACGGAAATGCACTTCCTGGCCTCGATCGTGAGCTCCCTCTGCCCCTCGTCGCACACTGAGATGTCCGACAGCCGCTCCTTGCACAGGATGCCCGGCCGCGGCGCCGGCGTGATGCCGCCCAGCACCCGCGTCACGAAAGGGATCTCGCCCGCCTGCGTGAAGTTGAATTTGCCGGCCACGGGGCAGCGCACCGGCCGGGGGGACTTTCCTGCGCGCCGGGGAGGGAGACGAGACGGAGAGGGAGAGGTGGAGGAAGAGGAAGAGGAAGAGGAAGAGGAAGAGGAAGAAGAAGAAAGAGAGAGAGAGAGAGAGAGAGAGAGAGAGAGAGAGAGAGAGAGAGAGAGAGAGAGAGAGAGAGAGAGAGAGAGAGAGAGAGAGAAGAAGGAGGAGGAGGAGGAGGAGGAGGAGGAGGAGGAGGAGGGGAGGAGGAGGAGAGGAGGAGGAGGAGGAGGAGGAGGAGCAGGAGCAAGAGGAGAAGCGGGAGGAGAAGGAGAAAAAAGAAGAGGAGGAGAAGGAGGATAAAGATAGAGGGAAAGAAGCAGATAAAGAATTGAAAACAAAACAAAACAAAAAGTAAAATGAAGTGAGAAACAGAAGGGAGGGAAGAAGAAAAACAAGGAGAGAAGAGAAAAAATGCATCAGAACATATTCCTCCCCAGTACACGAGTCCATCAAATATTTTAAAATGCAATGAGACTATAAAGGCCTTACAAAGATGTCCTCTGAAAGCAAGTGATTATTAATAAATCCATAACATTTAGAGGTAACAATAAGACGGTCGAATTAGTGTATCGAGTGTTAAGAGGTGATATCAACACAGGAACCGAAAGTGATAACAGCTGCTTGAAAAGGTAAACGAAGGTGACAAATCTGCCAGCAGGTAGTGTTAGTGGAAGCCCAACACCATGCCGAGGAGAGGGGGAGGGAGGCTTTAACCAAAGAGGTTTGTTGACGAAAAGCTAATGTGAGAGGGAAGGAAGAAAAGAGCTGTGGACAAATGTACCTGTATGAAACCAAACCCCAAGCAAACTCCAGGAGAAAGACAAAAGGGTTAAACATATACTAAAAAAGAGGAAGGCGTTTACAGCGCGAACGCTCGTGACGTACAATAAATATCAACATGTCTGCCGTAGGCGTCGACGCTAATACAGTAATGGGCATCGATCCACATCTCTTTCTGGTCTTGGTCGCAGACCGAAAGGTCGGAGATGTTCTCCCGACAGTAGATGTGATCCCAAGGGCTCTTGGTCACGCCTCCAAGGATACGGGTCTCGAACTTCAGCTCTCCAGTTTGGGTGAAGTTGAACTTGCCAGCCACTGGGCACTTGACGGGCACCGGGTCCTTGGCTGCGGTGGCGGTAAAGGGGGCGTTTTATAATGGATAAAAATATAATTTCTGTCTCTTTATTGTGGGGGAATAATACTGACGAGGGAAGTTGAAATGAAAATAATTCATAAAAAACAAAAGAATAACAAAAAAGGGAAACTGATAAAAAAAAAACACTGAATGCAGCAAACTGAAAATAAGGAACCCAAGTACTGGCGGTCTGTCACACAGAATCCTCTGCAAACACCATTTAAAACCCATAGTGATTCAAGAAAAAAAATGAAGATCAGTATCTAGACACAAGATACCGCACCCCAAACCCCCCCCCCCCCCCGCCAAACTCCAGGAGAAAGACAAAAGGGTTAAACATATACTAAAAAAGAGGAAGGCGTTTACAGCGCGAACGCTCGTGACGTACAATAAATATCAACATGTCTGCCGTAGGCGTCGACGCTAATACAGTAATGGGCATCGATCCACATCTCTTTCTGGTCTTGGTCGCAGACCGAAAGGTCGGAGATGTTCTCCCGACAGTAGATGTGATCCCAAGGGCTCTTGGTCACGCCTCCAAGGATACGGGTCTCGAACTTCAGCTCTCCAGTTTGGGTGAAGTTGAACTTGCCAGCCACTGGGCACTTGACGGGCACCGGGTCCTTGGCTGCGGTGGCGGTAAAGGGGGCGTTTTATAAGGGATAAAAATATAATTTCTGTCTCTTTATTGTGGGGGAATAATACTGACGAGGGAAGTTGAAATGAAAATAATTCATAAAAACAAAAGAATAACAAAAAAGGGAAACTGATAAAAAAAAAAACACTGAATGCAGCAAACTGAAAATAAGGAACCCAAGTACTAGCGGTCTGTCACACAGAGTCCTCTGCAAACACCATTTAAAACCCATAGTGATTCAAGAGAAAAAATGAAGATCAGTATCTAGACACAAGATACCGCACCCCAACCTGCATTTCTGTGGAAAAATAAACTTTCACCTTCTTCAGGATCTGCCACTGGTATCAGTATTTTGGCATTCTCTTTCACAGAAGGTCGATTCCCTATAATTTAGGGGTCATGTATCAACTGGCCTAAAGAATACAAAATTCGAGATTCTAAGGAAAACATTAATGAAAACGTAAACTGTCTGATCTTTAATGTATCCTTATAGTCATAGAGCAAACTTTTTATATATACTTTTATTAGAAAAATAACGTATATGACACTTATAACAAATACAAAAAACATTATCTGATAATAATCACGAAAAAGAAGCCTTTACCCACCTAACATGAGGTCGTAGTTCCACTCCCGGCCGCTCTGGAACTGCACATACGAGCACACGGTCGAGAACTCCTCCCTGATCATCTCCCTCCCCTTCCTGAAGCGGATGATGTTGTGGTGGCGAGGGACGAACTCGAAGCACACGTAGTCCTTCTGGCTGGAGGGAGGGAGGAGGCGTCGGAGAGTTAAGGGGACGTGCCTTAAGAGTTTTTTGTTTTAATCATCGACGTGTTTCCTTTTCTTCTTCTTTAAAATTCCTTGCGAGTCTGATGACTTTTACGAAATGGTGAAAATGAAGACTTGGGTAACTTTACACTGATTATTCGACAGTAACAATAACAACCACATAGGGTATAAGCAAAGATTTTATGTTACAAAGATACAACCACTTTCGAGTTTAAACGTCCGCGGTGCGTGTATTGACCTCTGCAGTCTGGTGACGTAGTTGCTGACGTCATAATTAAAACGTTTTATCCCAAACACACGAGGGCCAAGATTGGACATAAGTCATTGCGCGTTTTATGAGGGTATGGCGTATCTTTATAATGTAGTAGCTCTGATATAACTTTTATTGATTGTTAATCTTAAAGGGAACTCTCTCTCCATTTTTCTGTACTTACCAACCGTCAATGTTGAGCCTGGCCATCATGTATCGATTGTCTCTCTGTTCTCTGCAGACGTAAATAGTCCTCCTGAAGCGACCCTCGTCAGGGTAGGTTGTCTCGATGATGTGGGTCTGGTTGATGAAGACGTCGGCCTCCGTGTGGGCGGTGTTGACCCACTCGCCGCTAAAGTTCTTCGGCAACAGGCACCCGGGGTTCACCGTCTCTTGTTTCACTGTTGGGCGGGTTCGGGTTTAGAGTGAATAAGGACCGCATTTTTTATCATATCAGACAATGGAGTTACATTTCTATAACCTAAAACATCTGTTGACATTTTCTTTTATATTTTATGGTACTCTACTCTCTCCTACTCCCTTTCTACCCCTTAACTCTCTCTCTCTCTCTCTTTCCTTTCTTTCTTTTCCTCCTTCCTTTACTCCCTCTCCCTCTCTCTCCTTCCCTTTTCCCTCATCTCCTCTCCCCTTCCCTTCTCCCTTCTCTCCCTCTCTCTTCTCACCTTCTCCCTCCCTCTCTCTTTCATTACCTTCTCCCTCTCCCTCCTTACCTCGCCCTCCCCCCTCCCCCTTCCCACTCCACCCCACTCACCTGGGTCCATCCTGAACCTGAAAGGACTGTTCTCTGGCGTGTTCAGGACCGAGCACTCCGGCGTGATGGAGTGGCCCATGTAAATGTCGTCGTCCCTGTTCCTGACGAAGCAGCGGTACTTTTCGTCCTTCCGAGACTCCTTCGTGTTGGCCACGGCGAAGTAGTGGTTCTTGCCCACGAACCAGTCGCCGAGGCACGAGAACTCCTTGGCTGCGGGAGGATGCGAAGGGTGAGGGCGTGAGGCTGGGCCGGGGTTGTGAGGCGGCGCCATGAGGGGGGTGAGGGGTCGAGTGCAATTGGTGGGAATGAAGACGAGAATCTATAGTATAATATCCCTTTCAGATCCATATACAGAAGACGAATTTAGGCATGTTTTTATGTACATCATATATATATTATATTATATCTATCTATCTATCAAGCAAAATCTATCTGTTTACTCGTTTTTCTCGCTTTCTATGTATATGGGGACATTAGACACAGACAAAAAATGTTTACAATTTGTCACATTTGATTCACTGTCGGGCCTGAAAGGGAAATATTTTTTTGCTATATTTGATATGGAAATGGGTTTAAAATAAGATTTGGAGCTCCATGTTCGCGTACTTTAATTTTCAGAATTCCTAGTTTGAATCATCACTTGATAGGCAGTAACTAATTCAGGTGTTCGTGTGTGCGTGCGTGTCTTATAAAACATGAGCGAAGAACCCTACCTCCCTCGAAGGACTCCTTGATTCCTTCACACTTCTTGAAAGTGATGTTGAACTTCTGGTTGGCGATGAGGAACTGGTTGCCGGGCTCCTGGCACGACTGGATCCTGGCCTCAGGGTGGTTGCACTCGCCGGTGAAGCTGCCAAGAGCAAGCGCGGCCGTGTGAGAAACGAGTCACCGCCCTCCGCGGATTTATGATTCAGAATAAGTATTTGAATGCATATGTATGTTTCAAGTATACAAGGAACTTACCTCATCGAAAGGGAACTCGGTGTAGCAAAAGATTAGCAAAACCAACAACAATAACACCACAATCACTACCACCAACATCACCAGCAACAAAGAACGAGCACCCGAGGCCTCACCTGAATCTGTTCTGGTAAGCGAAGTGCCACACGCCCTCGATGGCCGAGCGGCAGTTCTTGGGCACGTAGTTCTCGTTGAACATGGTGATGAGCGCCTGGTTCTTGTCCATCTCGCTGCACGCCTCTTCCAGCGACGGCGTGTAGCCCGTGGGGAAGGTCACGCAGCCGGCTGAGCGGGATGCGGAGGGTTAGCACAGGGGGCATGGGGGAAAACACGGAAAGGAGGAGGAGGAAGATCAACCAGAGACGGTGGGAATTTCAAAATGTGGGAGGATAGGATGATGAAGAAAAACAAAATGATAATAATAGATAAAAACAAATAGCTGACTGACATACGTTCAGCACGTCTTCATACTCAAGAAAAAAAAAGAAAAAGACAAAAAAAGACGGAGATGCAATTATTCCCATGATAAAGACCCATTTATGACTGTAAACATGACGTGAATATTACAACTATTAAGAAGACTTAATCAAATACGGAGCGTTCAGTCAACAAAATCTAAACAGCATAATCTGTTTTATGAAAACAGATACCTAACTGCATTGAATAAAAACAAAAACAAAAAGAGTCATGGTGCAGTTAACAAAAAAGAGGAAAATCACCAGCCACAATCCTATAAAACTAAAAATAACTAAAATACATCAGATCTATCGAAACGGAAGGCAACCCGACGAGCGGCCGGCGACTCACTCTCGCTCTTCTCCAACACGTTGACGGTGCGCACGTTGAAGTGGACGCAGTAGAAGCACTCGTTGTCCTTGAAGAGGAACGCCTTGAAGTCATGCCGGTACACCTTGACGTCGACGCAGGTTCCGTGGCCGGTCATCGTCGTCTGATCGATGTCGGTGATGGTGTTGCTGCCGCTCTCGAAGCTGAACCATGTCCCGCGGATCACGTAGGGCACTTCGCACTTGTCGGCGCTTCCTGAGGGAGGGAGGGGGTGGGGGTCAGAACTAAGGATAGGAAGAAAGGAAGACAGGAGTCGAGGGCCAACTGATTTTTGAACAAGACATACTAAGAATATACTGGTTTGTACCCTTTCCTGTCCCCTTGGTTTTTCAAAAAGAAACCAAGGCAGTATACATATATACATACATACATACTTCCATACACACACATATACATATAATATATATATATATATATATATATATATATATATATATATATATATATATATATATATATATATATATATATCCAGGATTTTAGGAAGGGGGGATCTGGAAATGGACTACGCAAGCGTAACTTTCGAACAGAGGGGTCTGTGGCGCCTCTCCCTTGAGTCTCGCAAGACCAAATTGTTATTTATTTTTGTTTTACAATGGCTCCTATTAGTGAGTGGTGGAATGGTCAAGAATGAATATCAGGTATACACTACATAAATAAATAAACACATACATACATGTATGAGTTTGTATTTTGAATTCTATTAAATATACAGTAATCAATATCATAAATATATTATATAACGTAGGCATCCTAAATACTTTACGCTTGCAATCTAACTTTGCAAATAAAGACAAAGGCCGCAATACATGGCTTGGGAAGGCTTGATTCAAAAACGGTCTTATAGAGTTAATATTAATAACAACATGAATATCAATATTGATTAAAAACATATTTTCTTCTTCTAAAAGAGAATCTCATATGCTGGTCACACTAACGTGATGGCAAAAGGAATTATGGGGAAGTTTTCCAACGTAGTAACTCGAACAGGGTAAACGAATGGATTGGGACAGATCAGTACAGACAGATGCTAAGAACAAGAATGCTACGAGATCACAACTGGACAGTGTGCTGAAAGTTACACACAATACATTTTCCGCATACACAAATGTACAGTAGATGTAGTTCTAAACGATAAAAAATGTATTTCCGTAGACGCACCGTAGTCGACATTTTCCCTTAGTAACGTTCGTAGTCCTTTGCTATTTACTTTACATATATTCCTTTGCTATATTTTATTTATACAAGTACCTAGCAAACCAATATAAAACATGACAACCGTATTGTTAATCTAAATATAAATGTTTAGTGTACAAAAGACACATGAAAAAAAGTTGAAATGATAATGAAAACACCCTGAGTATAGCCTCCAAAATATGCTTAAATTTAGATTCGTAGCCTACGTCATTTCTAATCCCTGAACATATTAATGTGAAGATAAATGCTTATTAAAACCTTGAACCTGGGGCCAACGGCATGTAAATATGTTGCCTTTTGCAGATGAAATGATGTCCGTGTCAGCATATCCACGTTCATTTTCACCTAATCAATATCTTCCGGCGACGTCATGCGGGATAATTTCCGGACTTTTCCGCGTGGTAGAGGCAGGCCGGAGCTTCATCATGGCTTTTGCTCCTATTGTAATATATTGTATTTTGGTCTGTGTCCCGGTCTCTCTTACAGACATGTGTGCATCCAATTACAAGAAAGGAAATAAATACCTAACCTTTTCCACTTGTCGGATAAAGAATGATACAAAATAATTATGAAACAAAATCATGCTTTGATTTAATATATTTCACATACTCGCGCAAGAAAAAAAAGAAACAAGAGGCGAGAAAATACATCAGTCCGAACCAACCTCCCCAAAACGCCACAGCCTACAGCGCCGATCCCTTTCCCTTGCGACATCGCCGTCGTCTCCTTCACGTATACTTTTGGGTCACGGTAGGTGGGGATGGGGGGGGGGGAAGGTGTGGCTAGGCTTTGAAGTTTGCGTTATTTAGTCCAGCTCGCGGTTGAGCGGAACGCACTGCTTTGTGGCTGGAAATTTAGTGGGTATTTTTTCTTCTCTTTATCTTTTTTATGTGTTTGTTAATTATGTACGGTCGAATTTGACGATTTCAAGCCGATGTCATTTATATTTATCAAGTTTACATTTCATATTTTCAGTCGCTTTCCGATTATATACACTACTGGGTTTAAGTAAGGAAAATACTTACTTAGCTTGCCTGTGTTGAAAATAAGTGAAACTTCAACTATTCCGTTATTCATCCTAGAGCAAAGGTGCTCCCTTTAGCATTAAGTAATATGCATTTCTCTGCAGAATATTACCCTGAGTAATTATCATTACTGTTATCATTAGATCATTAGTAATACTTTTAGCTCATCATTTACATGTATTCTGTATGAATCACCTGTTATAAACATTATTCATAACATTATTACCATTAACTATATTATAATCATTAGTATCTATGATATTATAAATGCTATTTTATATTAAACATTATCAATGATGTTGTATATGTATATATATATATATATATATATATATATATATATATATATATATATATATAGTATATGTATATGTACAGTATATGTATATGTACAGTATATATGTATGTATATATGTATATATGTATATATGTATATATGTGTGTATATATATATATATATATATATATATATATATATATATATATAGGCGCACACACACACACATATACATACATATATATGTGTGTGTGTGTGTGTGTGTGTGTGTGTGTGTGTGTGTGTGTGTGTGTGTGTGTGTGTGTGTGTGTGTGTGTGTGTGTGTGTACATAAAAAAAAACATTTACTATCACTGCAAAAAACTTAATATGAACTAGGTTATGATTACTTTTACTGTACTGTGCGATTTGCCTATAGTTACAAACCAATTGAATCAAGTTGGCTATTGCTTTACACCACTTTATACCATTCCTTGTACCAGCTTTACTAGTCGTCTTCAATAAATGAATTCTAAAACAAGACCCTTACAGAAAAAAATGACAAAAACAAATGCAAATATATGATAATTTTCCAATAATTAGAATATAAAACTAGTTGAATAAGGAATTTTGTCCATGTGATGTATTTGTATTTCCGGCATCTAAAAGCAAAGAACCAAATGAAGCCACTTATCCTTTCAAGCGGAACACCGCACCATTACACGCCGAACCACCAACACGCAATTTTATTTATGTATATCTACGATAAGAAAAGTAAATGTAGTATTTAAAAAATCAGCCCGCTCTATAGCCACGCCCTAAGTGCGAAATGTCTGTAAGAGTCACTGCATTACACTTGTCAGACACTACCAATCCCAGAGTCCGAGCGCCGTTATGCCATGGGCTCCCCAAGGGCCTTAGGGTAAAAGGGTGGGGGAAACAGATACCCCGAGACACAAATTTTTCCGATGTGGGTAGGTAACTTCTACATAGCAGGTGACTCACGACAGCACGTGCCCTTGGCTTCAATAATTGTGATGAACTCACTTATTACTTCATTCCTTTTTCTAGTCGACTATCACTTTTACAAGGGTTAAATTGAGGCGAAAAATGCCGCCTCTAGGTGAAACTGGAGGCGGATATAAGGAGAAAATATTCGCCATTGTTGTGATTCCGTAACACAGTCATAGCCACTTCCTTTCATTCACAATATCCCCATGAAACTTTTCACTCCAATTACCACTTCTTTTTCACAGTTGACTCACCTTCCAACAAGACCCCCCAAAGCAGGAGCAATGAAGCTAAAAGTCTCTCCACGGACGCCATAATAACTCGAAATAATACCGTATCAAACTCAGCGGGCCATTGATAGAGACCTCGTTGAGTAGTACTGGTCTCAGAGTGTTAGCGAGGGACGGCGTGTGCGAGTTGCCATGGGCCGCAACGCCTCCCTCTTCCTCTTTTAATGCTCACTCCTGCGATCACTTGCTGGGGAAGGTGTTGGCTGGGGAGGCGATTGTTCTTTTGAGGCTTCGTTTATATACAGAGACTGTTGTTTTTATGACAAAGAATTCAAACAGATCGGCGAAAGGAGATTGATAATATTACGTATTTATGTAATACGTGCATTAGCATTTTATTAAGAGTATATAAATGAAAAGTCTTTGCTTGATTTTAGTGTATCTATTTCATAAATAATATAGTCCTCAGTTGAGAACCTGATTAGCAGATAATAATTTTGAATATTTTGACAAATGGCATCGATTTCTGAAGCCTCAGGTAATTCTACCACCAACAAAGGTAACGGACATCTAGCGGCCAGGTAAGAAACTAAATACCTGGAATGTAAAGAAAACGTTGATATAGGTATATTTCAAGGCATACTTAAATATATTTAGTTGGGTAATCGTGTGATAATGAAATAGATATTTGAGTGAAAGCATCAATCTCAAACTATTGGTTGCACGGAATCAAATTGACAAATTTATAATGAGAATATATGATGCCGTACGTCATCTACATTCGTCAGAATTAGCACAGCACAAACGCAAAAAATAGCTATCTCTCTCTCTCTCTTTCTCAACCCCCATCCCCCCCTCTCTCTCTTATTCTCTCTCTGTCTCTCTCTTTCTTCTCTTATCTCTCTCTCTCTCTCTCCCTCCCTCCCCCCCTCTCTCTCTCTCTCTCTCTCTCTCTCTCTCTCTCTCTCTCTCTCTCTCTCTCTCTCTCTCTCTCTCTCTCTTCTCTCTCTCTCTCTCTCTCTCTCTCTCTCTCTCCTCTCTCTCTCTCTCTCTCTCTCTCTCTCTCTCTCTCTCTCTCTCTCTCTCTCTCTCTCTCTCCCTCTCTTTCTCTCTGTCTCTTTCTTCTCTTACCTCTCTCTTTCTCTCACTCTCTCTCTCTCTCTCTCTTTCTCTCACTCTGTCTCTGTCTCTTTCTTTTCTCGCCTCTCGCATATATATATATATATACATATATATATATATATATATATATATATATATATATATATATATATATATATATATTTATATATGTGTGTGTGTGTGTGTTTGTGTGTGTGTGTGCGTGTCTTTCCTTCTCTCTCTCTCTCTCTCTCTCTCTCTCTCTCTCTCTCTCTCTCTCTCTCTCTCTCTCTCTCTTTCTCTCTCTCTCCCTCTCCTCATCAGACTAACCAATAACTGAAATGGAGCATCCATTTCGGTTATTGGTTCGTATAGCGAGGAAATCTTGACGAGTTCGAAACCTCATGATTCAATTTAATTTCTTATGGTAGCAGTTTCCTTTTCCCAATATCACCCAGGATTTCGACTTAATCTAATTAGATAGCCAAATAGACATATTAATTACACACGCACATGTGTATATATGTATACTATCCATACATACAGTCGTTGACGGCGTGTCTTCGGCGTCGGTTCGTATCCCTGCCTCCAAACAGGCAAGATCCGCATGCCAAGAGTCACATCTACAACACATTACAAATACGTTAATCACAAGGAAGAGGTTGTTTATCACCTCGCAGCCGGTGTGTCCCAAACGCCCCGCCCTTAGTGCCACGCCCTCTTCCTCATCTGACGCAGCGGCCACCGAGGCGAGATGCGACCAGAACGATGGTGGGCGGCGTATGGTGGAAAGTGAGAGGGATATTTGCCCTTCGATCGTGTCTAGAAAAGCCTAAAAGGTTTCCAATTTCTTTACAAAGGCATATCACTTATGGACACAAAGGTGCATTTTCATACGCATATACTCTCTCTCTTTCTCCGTCTCTTTTCACTTCTACTTCTTTCTATACCTTTCCTGTTCACATCTGTTCAGTCCTTTCTTTTTCTTCATCTCCCTCTCTCCTTCATATTCTTCCCATTTTCTGTTCCTTTATTAAATTTCTTCACCCCTTTTCTGTCTCTCTTCCACTCTCGTTTTCTTCCTCTGCCTTCTCCATAGCCGCCCCAATTTTTTACTTTTCATTCTTATCTTGTTTTTATCTTCTTTCAGTCTTACTTTCCCTTCCTTTATCCTTATCTCCTCTTTCTAGTGTACGACACTTTTTCTCGCAGTTTCTTCTCCCATGTAGGATCATTCCTTTCCTGTCCATTTGTCCGTTTACTGGTCATTGTATATATGTGTACATATATGTCTCTATGCGTTTGTATGGATACTTAGGTATACAATTAATTGTGTTTAATTTTATACTACTGTGGAAAGTTAGGAATCTTCCATAAGTATTAGAAAGGAAAGGAAAATCATGGGTGCAGAGCATCTGTGGAAAAAAAAACACAATGACGGGACATCGTACGATGTACGATTAGGATGATGACGCTGCTTGCGAGGAAGTGGCCGGGAGGCTGACCCTCGGTCGCTCTCCGACTCGACCGCGGCCGTCGTTCAGATCTGCGGAGTAACCATGGCCCGTGTGGTTTTGGTGGTTATTTTGGTAAGCAGGGGTTATCTTTTATATGAACAAGTTTTTAATAACGTTCCTGCGAGTAATTTAGAAACAATATTTTAGTTGACTAGATAACATATGTGGAAATTTGAATATAGATTTAATGAATTTTCATGTAAAATTAAAAATAGTATAATACAGGAAATCTGAACATTAGTTTACTTAATCACTCCATTGCAGGAATTTGATATTGGCTTTGATATTGTTGAAATAATAAATTCACTTGAAGGATATATGTTTTCCTCGTTTTTCTAATAAAACAGCGGTGGTGGTGGCGATCATATGTTTAACAGCAATCAAATATTATTTTGATTTATCTAGATTTCGATACTACGTGCGTGTATATGTGCGATTTGGATTAAACTTCTAGAAAACGAAGATTAATTTAGTTTTGAAATTTGCTTTCCTTACGCAACATCCAGGATCTTTAACCATGTGCACCCTCCATGGCTAACTACAGGTATTATTGAATGCGTTTAACATTTGATATATATATATATATATATATATATATATATATATATATATATATATATAGACAGATAGATAGATAGATAGATAGATAGTTAGATAGATAGGTAGATAGATAGATAGATGCATATATATATATATGCATCTATCTATCTATCTATCTACCTACTTATCTATGTAACTATCTATCTATCTATATATCTAATTATATGTATATACACACACACATACATACATAACGCAATATAGACACTAGAACAAACACAGTAACATGTATACAAAAATGCAAAGTGAAATTGAATCGTAACATCTCGAACACGCCAAGGACTCATCAGACGAACCAATAACTGAAATGGAGCATCCATTTCGGTTATTGGTTCGTCTAACGAGGAAATCTTGACGAGTTCGAAACATCATGATTCAATTTATTTTCTTATTGTAGCAGTTTCCCTTTCACAATATGTACTTCGTGTTTTTGTCGAGGTGCCAAAAGTAGATTCGATTCCCAACCAAAATACAAGATATAGCTTAATTTGCTACGTACCTCTGTACTTTGTAGGACCTATATAAACAGTATGCAGAGGTTTTCTTTGTGAAACTATCACCGTGATACCGTACACGGCCTAAGCAAGAAGAACGGCGGCAGCCAGATCCCTTGCCCCAAAATCTGGAAGGTTCTCTTTCTTTCTTCATTTTGCTTCAGTTGCGGATACTGTTGCCCCTTCCGTATGACGTGTATCTGCATACGTCAGTTCTCACGCAAGACGCTATGCGATGCCCTTCTGTGCTTGTATTCTCAGGTGATCATGACCGCGCCGACAATGTTACATTATACGACATTAATCAAAGCTCGCACAATTCTAAATGCAAACCATTATTTACTTCTGCCAGGCCATCCGCACCCAGGCTGCGGGTGATCTCGGTTCACTGACAAAAGCCAAGGTCGATAAGTGTTGCTATTCTGTTTCTCTTTCGATTTTTCCGTCGATTTTTAAAATGGATATGTGGTGTTTCGTTCAGATCTTTATATTTTGCTATAAAGTGGACGTCACAGAATTTTTCTGATATTCCATGATAATAAAGATTATTCTAATAGCACTAATTAGAACAGTAACAATATTGTTGTTAATTACTATATTTTTATTACTGTTTATGCTGTGATCATTAACATTTATAGTATTTCAGATAGTAAATATCGGTACCGATGATACGGCATCTCATGATTTCTAGCGATTGCTGAGAAAGGCTACAGATAAAAAATGTATGAATCGAGTCTTTCATAAACTGCGTCTGAGAAAGCCACTGTGCCTTCAGCTGTTTATTCAGTTGTTTTAGGATCTCATTGGCATATCGATGCTATTTTATTTATTGTTGTTGGTTTCATTTCATAGCTGCAAATGGCTTGATTCAATTTTCCCTTTTTTTCACACTGGACAAAACGGTAGTGAAAAAATATCGGTTTCATATCAAAGAAAGTAGGAAGGACTAAACACTATTTTTTAGGCAATTGCAGTATCAAGAAAGTTAACTGCTTTCTGTGGGACAGGTCATGGGGTTTAAAGAATTATTTCCCGTTTACCCCTATCTAATGCATCCACACAGATTTATTACACTTAATAATTAGTATTTCGAATGGCAATTCTAACACGTCCTACCCAAAGCATGTTCTAAGAGAGGAACACACCAAGAAGTACGTCGCTAGAAAATAAGTAAACCTTCGATACCAGTGATTCCCAAGTGATTTTGTCCCTAATGCCCCGCTGCAGTATTAGCAAAGAAGATAGATCCCCTCTGTCTGTCCCTTCTCGTACTTGTATCTCTCTCTCTCTCCTCTCTCTCTCTCTCTCTCTCTCTCTCTCTCTCTCTCTCTCTCTCTTAATATATATGTATATATATATATATATATATATATATATATATATATATATATATATATATATACATACATACATGTATATATATATATATATATATATATATATATATATATATATATATATATATATATATA